TTTATATTTGATCTTATTTAAAATAAGAAAGTAGTAAATCCTTTTTCCTGTTTCAAACAATTACCCGGCATAGACAGAATTTTACCAATTGATATCGTATATATAATAGCTAGAAAATATAGAGTCCAGAAAATTCTACAAAGCCTAGATGACCTACTGATTGTAGACAGTCTAGGCTATGTAGAAATCTTATAAAACATATAAAGCCTAGAGAGTATGAAATATTTACAGAGTACAGTGTCAAAAAACTATAGACACCCAAGAGAATCTAATAAACAATTAAGATCATCTAGAATTTAAAAGTTTTATATAGCCTAGAGAGCCCAGAAAATCTATAAAATTTAGCAGGTCTAGATTATACCGATTCTAGAGAATATGGAGACTTTAGAGAACCTAGAAAGTCTAGGAAAAAACCTACAGAATCTAGCAATTCTATATTCTATATATCTCAGAGATCTAACCGTCTAGACAATTTAGGGATTTGAGAATCTAGACAGAATTTATAAAATCTACAGGGTCTCCATAACACAAGGAATCTAAAAAATCTACACTCTTTAGAAAATCTAGAGCATCCAGACTTTTTCCCCGTCGTTTTGTTATCCGCTCGCTGTTTGGTGGAGCTTAAATTAATATCTATACTTTTCGTATGGATATTAATTATAGCATCGTGTCTAGAAACTATAGACAACCTGGAGATTCTAGACAATTTAAATAGTTTAGAGTCTAAAGATTTTAAAAAGCTTGCAGCAGTTAGAGAGTCCAAAAATCTATAAAATCTAGCAAGTCTAGATTCTACAGATCTTAGAGAATATGGAGACTTTAAAGCACTTAGATTGCCTAGACAATTTAGGAATTTGGACATAGAGAATCTAAGTATCTAAAGACTTCAGAAATTCTAAAGAATCTAGACCCTTTTCCTGTTTTTTGTTATTCGCTGGTCGATTGGTAAATTAAATTGATTTCTAATTTTTTCTGTTCGAATCAAATGACTTTTATATCTTTAGATCTTATTTAAAAAAAGAAGGTACTAAATATGTTTCCTGTTTCTAATAATTACCTGGCATATACAGAATTTTATCAATTGATATTGTATGTGTATAACAGCTAGAAAATGTAGGGCCCAGCGAATCTACAAAGCCTAGGCTATCTAGAAATCTTATAAAACATAGAGCCTAGAGAGTCTGAAATATTTACGGAATAGTGTGTCTAGAAACTATATACCTACACCCTAGAGAATATAGAGAATTTAAATCGTCTAGGGTCTAGATTCAATCGATCTTAGAGACCTATACCGTCTAGACAATTTAGGGATTTGAGAATCTACACACAATTTAGAGAATCTATAGGGCTCAGAGGATCTCCACAGCACAGACAATCTAGAAAATCTACAAATTTTAAAAAATCTAGAGCATCTAGACCCTTTTCTCGTCGTTTTGTTATCCGTTCGCTGATTGGTGGAGCTTAAATTAATATCTCTACTTTTTCTATTCGAATTATATTTCTTGTATAACTTTAGATTTAACTTAAAACAATTATTTTATTAAAACAAATATTGCTATTGAATATAATAATAACTAGAGAGTCTACAGAGTCTAGACGGCCTCCTAATTATAGACAAGCTAAGATGTCTACAAACGCCAGAAAATATATAGAGCCTACAGAGTTTAGAAACACCAAACAGCTTCAAGAGTTTAAACTATTTATTTAAAGAGTATAGTGTCTAGAAATTGTAAACATCCTAGAGAATCTAGACAATTTAAATCGTTTAGAGTCTAAAGATTCTAGGAAGCCTACAGCAACTAGGGAGCCCAAAAATCTACAAAATCTAGCAAGTCTAGATTCTAGAATCTTAGAGAATATGGAGACTTTAGAGAACCTAGATTGTCTAAACAATTAAAGAGCCTAAAGGGTCTGAAATATTTACAGAATATAGTATCTAGAAAATACTATATAAAAACTTAGAGAGTTTAAGTCGTCGAGTCTAAAGGCTTTATAAAACGTCTAGATTATAGAGTTTTTAGAGAATATGGAGACGTTGGAGAATCTAGAGAGTCTAGAAAAATTAGGGACTTGATAATCTAAAGAGAACTTGGAGATTGTAAAGAAGTTAGAGGATCTATATTTCGATATCAGTTAAGATCTCTACTTTGACGAACGTTTTTTTTTATCTAGTTACGACATATGTTAGAATATTTAGCCAGAAACTGATGGTAAAAAGAAGTTTTTTTGTCTAATTTAGTGCACTTACGGAAAAAAATAGAAAATATTATTTAATTAAAGACGAATGAAATCGTTCTTTGAAAAAATTCGCAATTTTATAAAAAGAAATTAAAATTATCTCGATGTCACTTCAAAATTTTGCATGGTAGATGCTATTTAAACTTTATAAAATAACATACCCTTGAATCATAAAAATGGACCACTTTTTTTTTCTAAGAAATTTTATCTTTTCTAATCGCCATTTCATAATTTATTTTTAAAATATATATATTTCATTAAAACATCAAAAAGGTGCTTTCTGTATGTATTTTGCCTAAAACTGTTTTTATGGATCAATCTCTAAAGTGTTTTTTTCTCATTTTTGGACCTGCTTTATTAATTAAAACAAATTCAAATTAATAATAGACCTATTTAAATTTAATTTTACTGAAAAAAAAATCTATAAAATCTAGCAATTCTAGATTCTATAGATATTAGGGACCTAGACCGTCTAGAAAATTTAGGGATTTGAGAATCTAGACAGAATTTAGAGAATCTATAGGGTTCAGAGGGTCTCCATAGCACAAAGAATCTGGTGGATCTACAAACTTTAGAAAATCTAGAGCATCCAGACTCTTTTCTCGTCACTTTGTTATCTGCTGGCTGAATGTTGGAGCTTAAATTAATATCTATACTTTTTATAGATATTAATTCTAGTATCGTGTCTAGAAACTCTAGACAATCCAGAGATTCTAGACAATTTAAATCGTCTAGAGTTTAAAGATTTTAGAGAGCCTACAGCAACTAGAGACCCCAAAAATCTACAAAATCTAGTAAGTGTAGATTCTAGAGATCATAGAGAACCTAAATTGTCTAGCCAATTTAGGGATTTGGGCATAGAGAATCTATAGTATCCAAAGACTTTAGAAATTCTAAAGAATCTAGACCTTTTTCCTATCTCTAGACCTTTTTCCTACAGTCTAGGATATCTAGAAATCTTATAAAACATAGAGCCTAGAGAATCTAAAGAATTTAAATTGTCTAAAGTTTAAGGGTTTTAGAGCCTATAATAACCCAGAAAAAATCTGTCAGATTTAGCAATTATAAATTAAAGCGATTCTAGATAATATGGAGACTTTAGAGAACCTAGAGGGACTAGAAAATTTAGGCAGAAACCAAGCGTAGTCTTGGTTGCAGCTCAAGAACCGAAGACAACCGGTGGCTAACATTTGTAGAATACTCCGCTGTGATTGACTGATTCTAGGTTGTTACCAATTACGAGTAAAAAAATATAAACAATAAAACTTTGTGTTTTATTCAAATATTTGGACCCGCTTAATTAATTAAAGCAAATTTAAAACACTCTCGTTGAACTCTTCATTAACTTTAGTACCGTAAGTGTACATTATATAATAACTACATTGTTAATTCAATCAGCTTCTAGATACTTTGTAATCGCATCATCCTTGAAAGCAAAATTACACGTTAGTGCTAAAATATCAACATGTTTTCCACGCCTTATAACTTAATTGTCTTCATTTTTTTTAAATCCCGTTAAAAATGTAAATTTAGCGTTTTATTATGACGTCATTAAATTTTGGAACGGATAGAGACACAAATTTTGCTACAATAATACCTAAAATGTTACATTTGAATTGATTTTTAAAAACGAAAACCAAAACATCGACATTTGATAATAAAAAATTAGCGTATTACGTTGCTTAAGTACTAAAGAACAGCGTAAAAGAATTCTATAAATGACAATTACGTTCAAACTCGACATATTTTAAAATTATAAATTTCTGTGTTAATATAGGCAACCCATTATTCACCTCTAGCGCAGAAACAGAACTCGAACAATTTGTTCGCGTTTATTTAACTGGGGGTTTGATATAAAAGCAAGAAATGCACGCTTTTGGCAAAAATACAAACTTATTCAAAACACTATACCGAGTGTTGACATTAACGCAATTTATTTTCGCAGGCACCTATGATGAATTATTATCGAATTATAAAAAAAAGTAGCCATCTTGTTAAAAGTACAAAAAATGTTACAAGTAATAAAAACGTGAACGAGACAGCAAAAAGGTGATCAAATCTACTTCCAGAGGAGGGTTGTGATTATATATACCTTAACATTAAAGCCCTACAGCACTTAATCTAAACTTAAAACTGTACCCATGAGTTTTAGTGATCACACTTTAACAATGCCTCGGAAGCAGCGGATCACCCGATATAGTACGAATTTGATATCAGTTATAACCTTATCACAGCCAGAATGATATTAGTGAGATGTACTTTTTACTTCGAAAACAATCATACAAAAACAGGAGAAAAAAAATGTCGAAAAAGATAACAGTATTATGAAGTGGCTGTGGTTTTTTCAGTGTGGTTGGTGTGACTGTCAATGCGTCATAAATGTCGATAAATTTTAACCTAGTGCTTTAGTGCTTTGAATTTTAATATCTCACTACTACTACAACGACGAGTTTAACGATTTAAATGGAAAGTAAACCAATTGTGATAGGGTGAGCTATGCTTCTCAGGGAATAGCCATAAGTCGAGAGAGGTATTCTCTTCGAACAGCAGCGATCTACTACGCGAATTCTTGTGGAAGTTGCTTTATCACCCTCTTTTTCAATAACTTTTGTTTTCTTTTTCAAAATTTAAAAATATTTAAAATTTTTAATTTACACTATGTATAAATATAAAAAAGGTGGATGCGCCGGGCCACCACACCAAAAATCCGGTTCACAAGGAGCAAACCCACAGTATAGTAGTCCAAGAAAAATATAACTTACCGATAAAAGGGTAAACAAATTGTAACACTCCCAAAAGAATATACCCAGGTTTACCAAAAGCAGCCTCCATAATCCCCTGGTAGGAAAACTTTCCGCTAATATGCCCACTCCTCACCATCAAAATCAACGAATAGTCGGTAATGTAGGCAACCACTATTAGCAAAAAAACGCCAAAAAAGAACCCAGCGTCGTGGAAAGCATACGGAATCCCAATAACCCCACTTCCAATAATCGAATTGATAAAATTAAAACTAGCCCATGGTAAACTCGACTTGTTCCCTGTGTCTTCTTCCTATAACACCCTCACCAAATTTTCAAAATTTTAAACTCTTCGTCAAAACTCACGTTTATTAGTTGCTTCATGTCGTCGAAAGCATTTTCGTTCGAATCTATACTACTCGCCTACGACAAGATCTTTATGCAACGCATACACACAAAATTTTTTCTCACCCTGTCTTCGCTGTAGGTCCTCCTGTCCAGGATGTAGCTCGTTTCGTTCAAGTTCTTTTCCATCGTGGCCATTTTCGCGTCGCTCAGCACGGCATTATTGCAAATGAGGAAGAGGAAGTTTAAGGCGACGTGAGGAGCCACATTGTGCTGTTAAGTCTGTTGGAAATGTGATAAAAAGGACGGATGAAGGAGATATTGTCTGGATGAAATTAGGAGCGTGACGTAGGTGGGAGCATCGATTTCCAGGGGGATTATGCGCGTTGGCGTGCGAAACGAGATTTTTCCATCGTAAAAAGTTTGTTTTGAAACGGGAAATTCGTTAATGTTTTATATGTTAATAAAAGAAATAGGAAAGTGGGTTGCGACGGGATTTGCTCTATAAAGGCGATGGAGTGGAAAAGAATGTCGCTCTAAATGGAGATGGCTGTTGTTTGAAGTTGCAACTGTTGCTTTAAATGGTGATTATGGTTGAAGTGGTGGAGTCTGGGAAATTTTCAATTTTTGAAGAAATTTTGAAACCTCTAAGTTCAGTATTTACTTAAAATTATCAGGTTATTTTGAGCGATTTCAAAAATTTTTTGGAATTTTCGAAAAAATGAGGTTGTAAAAAATGTTTGAAGGGTGAAGTCAACAAAACAAATTTTCAACGGTGTTTCAATCAAAATTACCTGAAAATCATAGATCAAACGTCTACACAAAAATTATTAACTCGAGAAAATTTGGAAATTTGTTAATTAATCAAATGGTGGACCTTGTTGTGTTTTAAAATGGCGGAATTTATTCGAAAATTAAAGTGGTGGACTCTATAAAGTAAAAACCAATGGCGTAAATAACGCTCCCGGAGCTATTTTCATTTTTTTGTTCCTTTACTTTTTCAAGTTTTCAAGTTTAACTTTTTCAATTTTTAAACTTTTCAATTCAATGTCTAGATTTCGCAATTTTTCGATTTGTCACTCGAGTTTTCATTTTTAAGTTTTCCATTTGCAATTTTTCGTTTTAATTTTTTATTTTATGTATTTTTACAATTTTTCAATGATTCGATTTCATAATTTTTTGGTTTCTCAATTTGCGATTTTTCAATTTTTCATTTTTTTTTTCTGTAATTTTACGATATCTGTTAGTTTTCATTTTTAAATATTCCAGTTTTCCGATTTTCCAACTTTTGGACGTTTTTAAATCTTTAGATTTTGCAGTTTTTCGACTTTAAATTTCAAGAGTTTTCAATTTTCAGATTTTTCAGTTTTTCATTTCATCAGTTTTTCGAGAAAAACGTGGAAGTACAAGTTATTCTAGGTGACCTACATTAGGAGGGCAGTCCAAAAAGAAAAAACAAATAAAAATTAAACCCCACCCACCCGCCCCAATCTTAGTTGTGATGAGTTTCCTATCGTAATTTCTTGTAGAGAAGTGAAAATTTTACAACTAAACTCCCTTGAGAAGGGGTGGGGGGCGGGGCTTATATTTTGTCTATTTTTTCTTAAAATACGAAGTCTTCTTTTCAGAACAAGAAACTGAAAACATGTTTAACTATTCTGTTCTTGAGAGAAAACTCTATACATTAAAAAAAGATTAAGCCCCACCCATTCACCCTAATCTCATTTGTGATGAATGTCATATGGCAATTCCTTATAAAGAAATGAGGATTTTGCAACAAAACCCCGCCCTTCAGCTCACGATGAATAAAACATTCGTCACAATCGAGAAGGGGTGGGTGGGCGGGGCTTAGATTTTGTCCACTTTTTCTTAATATACGAAGTCGTCTTTTCCCAACAACAAACTGAAAACATGTTTAACTATTCTGTTCTTGAGAGACAACTGTATACATTAAAAAAAGATTAAGCCCCACCCACCCACCCTAATCTCATTTGTGATGAATTTCATATGGCAATTCCTTATAAAGAAATGAGGATTTTGCAACAAAATCTCGCCCTTCAGCTCACGATGAATAAAACATTCGTCACAATCGAGAAGGGGTGGGTGGGCGGGGCTTATGTTTTGTCTATTTTTTCTTAAAATACGAAGTCTTCTTTTCAGAACAAAAACCTGAAAACATGTTTAACTACCCTGTTCTTGAGAGAAAACTCTATAAATTAAAAAAAATTAACCCCACCCACCCGCCCCAATCTCAACTGTGACAAACTTCATTTGGTAACTTCTTGAGGAGAAATGATGATTTTGCAACTAAACTCCGCCCTTCAGGTCACGATGAATAAAACATTCCTCACAATCGAGAAGGGGTGGGTGGGCGGGGCTTATATTTTGTCCACTTTTTCTTAATATGCAAAGTCGTCTTTTCCCAACAACAAACTGAAAACATATTTAACTATCCTGTTCTTGAGAGAAAACTCTATACATTAAAAAAAAATTAAGCCCCACCCACCTGCCCTAATCTCAATTGTGATGAATTTCATATGGTAACTTCTTGAGGACAAATGAGGATTTTGCAACTAAACTTCGCCCTTCAACTCACGATGAATAAAACATTCATCACAATTGAGAAGGGGTGGGTGGGCGGGGCCCATGTTTTGTCCACTTTTTTTTAATATGTTAAGTCTTCTTTTCAGAACAAAAAACTGAAAACATGTTTAACTATTCTATTCTTGAGAGAAAACTGTATAAATTAAAAAAAAAATAAGCCCCACCCACCCGCCCCAATCTCAATTGTGACAAATTTCATAAGGTAACTTCTTGAGGAGAAATGATGATTTTGCAACTAAACTCCGCCCTTCAACTCACGATGAATAAAACATTCCTCACAATCGAGAAGGGGTGGGTGGGCGGGACTTATATTCTGTCAATTTTTTTTTAAATATGAAGTCTTCTTTTCAGAACAAAAAACTTAAAACATGTTTAACTATTCTGTTCTTGAGAGAAAACTCTATACACTAAAAAAAAAGATTAAGCCCCACCCACCCACCCTAATCTCATTTGTGATTAATTTCATATGGCAATTCCTTATAAAGAAATGAGGATTTTGCAACAAAATCTGGCTCTTCAGCTTACGATGAATAAAACATTCGTCACAATCGAGAAGGGGTGGGTGGGCGGGGCTTATATTTTGTCCACTTTTTCGTAATATGCGAAGTCGTCTTTTCCCAACAACAAACTGAAAACATGTTTAACTATCCTGTTGTTGAGAGAAAACTCTATACATTAAAAAAAATTAAGCCCCACCCACCTGCCCTAATCTCAATTGTGATGAATTTCATATGGTAACTTCTTGAGGAGAAATGATGATTTTGCAACCAAACTCCGCCCTTCAGCTCACGATGAATAAGACATTCGTCACAATTGAGAAGGGGTGGGTGTGCGGGGCTTATATTCTGTCTATTTTTTTTTTTAATATGAAGTCTTCTTTTCAGAACAAAAAACTTAAAACATGTTTAACTCTTCTGTTCTTGAGAGAAAACTCTATAAATTAAAAAAAAAATAAGCCCCACCCACCCGCCCCAATCTCAATTGTGACAAATTTCATATGGTAACTTCTTGAGGAGAAATGATGATTTTGCAACAGAACCCCGCCCTTTAACTCACGATGAATAAAACATTCGTCACAATTGCGAACGGGTGGGTGGGCGGGGCTTATATTTAGTCTATTTTTTCTTAAAATAAGAAGTCTTCTTTTCAGAACAAAAAACTGAAAACATGTTTAATTATCCTGTTCTTGAGAGAAAACTATAAATTAAAAAAAAATAAGCCCCATCCACCCGCCCCAATCTCAATTGTGACAAATTTCATATGGTAACTTCTTGAGGAAAAATGATGATTTTGCAACTAAACTCCGCTCCTCAGGTCACGATGAATAAAACATTCATCACAATAGAGAAGGGGTGGGTGGGCGGGGCTTATATTTTGTTTATTTTTTCTTAAAATACGAAGTCTTCTTTTCAGAACAAAAACTGAAAACATGTTTAATTATCCTGTTCTTAAGAGAAAACATTATAAATTAAAAAAAAATTAAGCCCCACTCACCCGCCCCAATCTCAATTGTGACAAATTTCATATCATAACTTCTTGAGGAGAAATGATGATTTTACAACCAAACTCCGCCCTTGAGGTCACGATGAATAAAACATTCGTCACAATTGAGGAGGGGTGGGTGGGCGGGGCTTATATTTTGTCTATTTTTTCTTAAAATACGAAGTCTTCTTTTCAGAACAAAACACTGAAAACATGTTTAACTATCCTGTTCTTTAGAGAAAACTCTATAAATAAAAAAAAATTAAGCCCCACCCACCCGCCCCAATCTCAATTGTGATAAATTTTATATGGTAATTTCTTGTAGAGAAATGAGGATTTTGCAACTAAACTCCGCCCCTCAGCTCAGAATGAATAAAATATTCATCACAATTGAGAAGTGGTGGGTGGGCGGGGCTTATATTTTGTCCATTTTTTCTTAATATGCCAAGTCGTCTTTTCACAACAAGAAACTGAAAACATGTTTAACTATCCTGTTGTTGAGAGAAAACTCTATGTCTTAAAAAAAATTAAGCCCCACCCACCCGCCCCAATCTCAATTGTGATGAATTTTATATGGCAATTCCTTGTAGAGAAATGAAGATTTTGCAGCTAAACTCCGCCCTTCAGTTCACGATGAATATAGCATTCATCACAATCGAGAAGGGGTTGGTGGGCGGGGTTTATATTTTGTCCACTTTTTCTTAATATGCGAAGTCGTCTTTCCCTAACAACAAACTGAAAACATGTTTAACTATCCGGTTGTTGAAAGAAAACTCTACACATTAATAAAACATTAAGCCCCACCCACCCGCCCCAATCTCAATAGTGACGAATTTCATATGGTAATTTCTTGAAGAGAAATGAGGATTTTGCAACCAAACTCCGCCCTTCAGTTCATGATGAATAAAACAGTCGTTGCAATTGAGAAGGAGTGGGTGGGCGGGACTTATATTTTGTCCACTTTTTGTTAATGTACGAAGTCTTCTTTTCCCAACAAGAAACTGAAAACATGTTTAACTATCCTGTTGTTGAGAGAAAACTCTATACATTAAAAAAAAATGAAGCCCCACCCACCCGCGCCAACCTCAATTGTGATGAATTTCATATGGTAATTTCTTGAAGAGAAATGAGGATTTTGCAACTAAACTCCGCCCTTCTTTTGGTCATTTTTGATGGTGGTCCGAAAAAGATTCATCCTAGGAAGTCGCGAAAAATTGAATTTTTGGAAAATTTGTCTAAAAATCTAGAAAAAATCGAAGATGTTGACGTGGT